TAAAATAGGTCATTTTAAAACCAGAAAACATCTTTTAAAAAATGGATTTACTTCAGATCACTCATAGCTACATGATAGCACTTCTACTACCACATTTAATGAGGGAGCACTCTTTTCAACATCATTGTGTCTATTCGGTCCTTGTTCAATCTCCGAAGAGCCTGCTAATTAAAATATCCACATGTGAAGACCTAAAGAACCTGACCTTTCTGTCTGTTTCTATTTCCGTTTCTATTTCTCAATTGCAGTGCTTTGAATTTGAAACTTCATTGTCATCATGGCAACCTCTCCGTTTTTGTGGCAGCCAAAGGCAGCCTCATATACCAATCTCGGGCTTTGGCCCATGGTCAGGTGTCCAGTTGAGCTAGCCTGGCATGGGGTGGATCCATGCCTCTGAGCTGCAAAGAGCGGTTTACGGTCAATCCGTTTGTTCCCATAGGGGCTGGTCCAGAGGAAGACTGTCACAGTCGGGGACATGTGTTTCCATAGCCCAGGGTCCTGGGCAGGTGTGAGTCAGTGTTGGCAGGTCAGGTGGCTCGAGCAGATGAGGAGTGAGCCCGATGCCATTTGCACACATTGCTACCTCTGCTTCCACATTTGTCTCTTGTTGTCTACCTGTAATCATTGCACCTTGTTACTGCCTAAGGAGTAATGTCACATTCATTACACTTAGACAAGGACAACCAGATGAATGGTGAAATGTGATGTTTTATGAAATGTTTTAATTATTCACATAATGTAATTGTTGAAAGAACCTTGAAACATGAAATTGTTTTCTGAATAAACTGTAGACTAAGTATTTACATCAGTTATAATGATCAACAAACTATGTAAAATTTTTCCAGCTGTCACCTGTGTGTGACATTTATACACTTTTCTCTTCTCTCCCTCCCACTGTGAAACACTGAGCTCCGCTACTTTGCAGATGGAGTGGAGGGAATCTTCTCCATAGTGAAGCCTGATAGCCCTGGAGGTTTAATCAGGAACCCTGGACATTTGTAAGTTGAACCTCCTTGGTTGGAACTTTTCGAGGCTCAGATAAGGCCAGGCAGGGTGGAGGCGTAGGGCCCAGCACTCCCGCAGTCTCCTCAGTGGAGACTGTCAAGGGGCCTATGTGTGGATCAAACTTCAGCTGATACTCCTAGCACTGGTTTGTCTCTTTGTGAATAGCAGCACCTGGACCAGGCTCAAGGCTCCTTGACCCACTCACCCTGCGTTCAGTCCTGAGGACCAATGTATGGGGCAATAAAGTGCATATGTCGTTGACTCTCCAGTAGACCCTGGGTTGGGGCTCCCTCTCCATGGCAACTGCCAATTTCTCCATGGAGGCAGTCAGATGGTTGCAGGACTGGCTGCAATTCTGCAGAATTGAGGTAATAACAGGCAATGAATTTCTGGACTGGCTGCATCACCGCGGCTTCTCAGCAATGTGGACCAGTGCAACTGCTTCAGTCCTCTGACTGTCAGTGACCTGCAGTGTTTCTCCCTTTCTCTCTGTCTTTGGAGCTGTCAGTGTGGAACTCAGTAGGTGACGTCTCAGAGCCCAGTAAGCTGTCATTGCCTATGCAGTTGAGGGGTCAAGGAGGCAGACAATTGCCCCTCCAATGCGACTGAATGATCATCCAGTGAGGTCAGGGATATTTTCTCTGTGGGAACTCCACCTGTAGCGACAGAACAGGCAGATGACATTGCAACCATTGGTTTGTTTAGGTGTTTGATACCTGGTTAATGTGACTGTTGCAGTGGGTTGACAAGTGTTACTGACTTGGGTGTTGGGGCATGGATGTCTCTGTATCTCTACAGGAGTGGACCCTGTCTTCTCCTGCCAGAGCGAGAATCCTTGGAAGGGGTGACGCGATGGATTTCCGTCACCCCATCGACTGTCTGACATTGCTCTGTCATGTTATGGGATGTCTTCAGCTGCTATGACATAAAGCTGGTGAATGAGTAAGACAGAAGTGTGTGTTACTGCTAGTGCATTTGTGGGAATAGGTGTTGAGGTGTTCCAAAGGAATGAGAAGGCAACGTGGTGGGCGTGCAGTGTTAGTGATGTGGGAGTATTGCAGGGGTGGGGTGGTAAAAAGCCTAAGTGAGGAAAGCTGTAACATGCAGTAGAGGGGGTGTCAGAGCATATGCATTGGTGGGAGGTAGGTGTGGTGGCACAGTTGAGTATGAGGCAGCAGAGAGTAGAGTATTACACTTCCCCTGGTGGAGCAGAGAAGATCATTGACCTTCTTTCTGCACTATTGACCAGTCCTTATCACCCTGGAGATGGCACTGAGATGGGTGGCAATAACTGACCATACTGGCATCATATGTTGGCATGGCCTCCTCTGTCGGTCCTCCAGAAAGTTGACTCCTCTCCTCTCCAGCACCACATTCACAAGGACCTCCAGGTCCTGCTCTGAGAAGGATGGTGGCATATTCTCCTTCTCTGCCATCTCCAATGATGCCTAACAGTGAGCAGAAGAGCTTCCAGATCGCAGTATTTCTGTAGGTGCACAGTGTGCTTTGAAAAATGGCGTGACCCCAAGGGATGCTGGTCTTGTAGAAAACCCCTGCTTAGCAGTGAGTTCCTCCCTGACTGGTGGAGATAGGTTGTGATTCTTGCTTTGAGAGCTCAAATAATAAACATTTCATGCCAGTATGGTCAGATATTGTCACCCATATCAGTGCCATCTCCAGGGTGATAAGGACTGGTCAATAGTGCAGGAAAAAGGTCAATGATCTTCCCTGACAGGTGGAGATAGGATGTGATTCTTGCTATGAGAGCTCAAATAATAATTAATTCAGGAAGTTTGCTAAGATTGGTGAGAAAACTCATTGGTCCTCTCATCAAGAATAACTCCACACCATATGGCCATGACTCGCACTTAGCCAAAAGAATGATCAAATTCAGCCAATGCTATTGAATAATGCATGTCATAATTAACATGCAAATTGGCCAGCAATTTGTGGCAATATGTATGCAAATTTGATATCACCACAATTTACTGGACAACTGGTAGCTAGTCCGCTATTTGCAAACTCATACTAAACTATTCCATGCTGTTGAAGTTTGCTTAAATTTTGCCAGTCACTGTTTCAATATAAATTGCAGATTATGCAAGATGAAAACACCTCTGGCTGTTTCCATTGAGCAGTGTAAATTAGATCAAGAAGAGTGGTGCATAAATGTTATCACAGCCAAGTGTAGACAATCCAGTGAAATCAATTGATATCAGAGTGGTTACACCAAATATTGAGCAGCATCCTGGCAGAAATAGCAGGAAAACAAAATGCTGTTTGAGCAGCCCTAAGCCCCCAGAACTCTACTGAGGCAATATGTATTTTTTTATTTCAAAAAGTATACCTTATTCATAAAAATCTTTATACACATAGTCACTACAATGTATAAATATCTGCATCATCACAGCCTACCCTGTTAGTACCAGTCCCCAGGGCTGCATTGTTAAAAATTTTGTTAAGCACAGGGTGATAACATTAATAATGTCTATAAATAAGGAAGTTCAATATTGAGCTATTCCTTGTCCATTCATATAGTTACCGCTTAGGCCTCACATCACCTAGAATTAAGAACTAAACCTCAACTTTTCTCTTCATGGATTTACTCTACTATTAGAGATGTCCACAACTGGTATGTGATTTGCTAGGATCTTCACTGGGTGGAACAAAAACAAAGTTGCTGGAAAAGCTCAGCAGGTTTGGCAGTACCTGTGAAGGAAAAAACAGAGTTAATGTTTCGGGTCCGGTAACCCTCCTTCACAGATGCTGCCAGACCTGCTGAGCTTTTCCAGCAACTTTGTTTTTGTTCCTGATTTACAGCATCCGCAGTTCTTTCGGTTTTTCTTCATTGGGTGGATTTGCTGCTAATGACCCTCCTTGTAAAACCTGTCTTTTGGGGCTGACTAGTATTAATTGATGAAGGATTAACCAGTAATAAGTCTTCAACAGAGGAGGCACATACTTGAGTAACACAAACTAGTTTAATGCATAACAGTAACACACCAAGATATATTAGCCCAAGACTGGTTAACTATATTTATACTAGGTAAGAGACATTGTTGTTTCCTTGGATATAATAACTAGGTCTATGCCACATGGTTGTAGACAATTGAGAACTGACTAGCAACTAACATCAAGATAGAATCATTACTTAGAAATGACTAGCTCCTCCCAGAGGCCATCATTTAAATCAGTGGGAGGAACTATCCCAAAGCTTCTGAGTTAACCCTTTGAGGCTAACAGTCTTGTGCAACAAATGAACTTCTTTAGGCTCTGTAGGCTTGGGATTGCTATAGTGTCCTGTTTGATGGCAGGGATCTTGCTGGGAGCCTGTTCATGAATTATTCTATTCAAAGGGTAATGGGTGAGGGTCCTGCTAATGTTGGCTGGTTTGGAGGACATCTGACCTCATTGCTATCCCACCACTAGAATGAAAGTGTAACTCTCGAGGTCAGGCAGTTATTAGATAGATAGAATTAGCATAGTGGATTGCTGCTTTGCACCCATGACAAGACACTACCTATTTGTTGCATTATATGATCAATTGTTGAATTTGAAATATTTCTTCTTTATAAATGATAGGTGACTGTGATGTGAATTCTTAATATATGCAGTATGATATGGCATTATAAATTTTGACTCAAACTTTGCACTATCAATACTAAATTTTTACATATTGCACACACACACAGGTAATATCTTAAACTGACAAATGTCTTAGATTGACTTTAAACTTTTACTGAGAGTCAACCTGATCCAACAAAAGAATTATAATGAATAATTTGTGTATATTATCATCAATAAGTCAATGAATTTTATTTGGACAGTGTAAACTGCTTCATTTGCTGCTGACATTTCTTACGTCAAAACCTTCAGTTTAGTTAACTGGTTCCCAGCTGCCTTGGAAATGCTTGTAGTCCTCTGCACAAAGTAAATTATAGACAATTGAATATATTGACTGCACTGGTATATTTTCATCCTTTAACCCAAACTAGGATTTGTCTATTGGCTGTCTACTGCAATCAAAACTTAGAATGTGTGAAACTCAGTTTCTGCAAAGAAATTACTGAAGATACCATTAAAAAGTTATGTAAAAACTGCAGACGGTACGTATGGAAATTTTAATTAAATAATTTTGCTTAGAATCTATGTTCATAACAAGCTGTTATTTAAATATCCCAAACATGATGAGGGTGGTGCAGGTCATGTGTTATAACCTACATTGCTACAGAATGATAGAATCCAGAATCCAGATCATAGATCAGTAAATTTTCCAGTGGGTTTTATGAAACATGATCCTGGCCAGCTGTCATGCACTTCCTATTCACCTGATCGAGTCCAATCTTTTAGATGGACATTATCTGAACTCCTAAAGGGGAGGAAAAGTATATCACCTTAATGTAAAAATTGAAAGAAATGTAATACTGCATTGTTTCACCTCTCTGTTTTGTTTATTGCTTTTGGGATCATTTACTATAATTTTCTTGCTCTGAAATGGTTCAATTTGTAATGGAATAGAAAGTGAAAATGAAGGTTGAAATTGTAAACATATTCTCTTGCAGCTTGGGGCTTCCACTTAAGCCTGGACACAGGAATTTCTTCTATTTCCATTAGACAGTATATTGCACAAAGATTCAGTGAATAAAATGTTGTCATTGAGTTGATTTTGGCTGCGTCAATGTGTGTTTAATCACTGTAAACTGAGTTTCTTCAAGTGTATTTAATGCAATATTCTACATATGCTTTTTCTTGTTTTTAGACTGAAGTTGCTTCATCTATACGGCTGCCACTCTATCCATGATCTGAAGGCTATTCAAGATGTGAACAAACAAGTGAAATTGCACCACGATCTTCCACTTAGTATTGTCACAAATTGAGGATGCTGAAAACATTAAGTTTCCTTTATCAGTTGTGATTTCTTCTTTGCTATACTTTGTGAAATTCCCACTGGATTCCCACTTTCTAAATTGGGAGTTAACATTTATCAGATTGTGACTCATGTCATCGACATTAGGCTTAACCAGTACTTTGTTTACAATTACATGACGTATAATATTCCCATTTGAAGAGGTACCAATGTTGCAGTTTGGCTTTTAGAATTGGTTGGATTTCACTGTGAGTGATGAATGGGATTTCAGCCATTCATTACACTTCTTGACCATTAATTGCTATGAGACTTTGTGCTGAAATCAGCTGTAATTATAGAGCCAAATTGGTGCTCAATAAAGCATCTCAGTCCTGTGTGGACAGGACAAGCAGTAGTGAACGCTGCAGAGTCTGAACCCGAAAATGTAAATTGGAATAGTGAATTCAATGTCAAGATAGGTATAGAAAAGATAGATTGTTTGAGAGAGACAAAGAAAAAATGAAAATAAAATTCTGAACAATGAGACACTGCGTTTGTAAATGTTAATTTTCAGTACTAAAAAGATTGTTCAACAATCATAAAGAATTATCATGATGTTACAAGGATGCTTATATTACATCAACAAATCCAATATTTTTCTGATGTGTTTAGTTCCTAACACTAAGTGAAGTAAAACACCATGATTTTCACGTTATTTGGTTAGTCAGATGGCAAGAAACCGTAATATCACAGCTTTGGAGCAGGAGAGCATCTCAGGCTGTAACTTTCTGAATGACATTATTGGGGTGTAAAGCAATTAGCTAACTGAAACAAAAACAGAAATTACTACAGAAACTCAGCAGGTCTGGCAGTATCTGTGGGAAGAAAGCAGAGTTAATGTTTTGAGTCTGGTGACTCTTCATCCATCACTAGACTCAAACTGTCACCTGTCCTTTCTTCCCACAGATGCTGCCAGACCGACTAGGTTTCTCCAGAAATTTCTGTTTTTGTTGTGAATCTTCAGCATCCACAGCCATAGAGTCATGCAGCACGAAAACTGACCTTTCAGTCCAACTTGTCCATGCTGACCAGATGTTCCAATCTGACCTAATCCCATTTGCCAACATTTGGCCCATACCCCTCTAAACTCTTCCTATTCATATACACATGCAGACTTTTAAATGTTGTAATTATACCAGCCTACACCACTTCCTCTGGTAGCTGGTTCCATGCATACATCAGCCTCTGCGTGAAAAAGTTACCCCTCAGGTTCTTTTTAAATATTTCTCCTCTCACCTTAAACCTATGCCCTCTAGTTTTGAACTCTCCCACCCGAGGAAAAAGACCTTGGCTATTCACCCTATCCATGCCCCTCATGATTTTATAAACTGCCACAAGGTCATCCCTTAGCCTCCGATGTTCCAGGGAAAAACGTCCCAGCCTATTCAGCCACTCTCTATAACTTAAACCCTCCAGTCCAGGCAACACCCTTGTAAATCTTTTCTGTACTCTTCTCACATTTAACAACATCCTTCCTATTGAAGGGCGACCAGAATTGTATGCAGTATTCCAAAAGTGGCCTTCCATGGCAGATGTTTTGATGGAGCCAGATGCATAGAAATTCAGTGTTACACTGATATTCAAGGTCTTGAATGCCCCCTAGTCCATCAGCTGTTAGCTGCCTTGCAGCATGGTGATGGCCTCCCGCAACAGATACAGTCTTTTCTTGCACTGGTTCCCAGACATCTAATATGCTATGCCCCCGCTTCCCATTAATGTTGCTGGATTAATAATCCAGAGCACCAGGCTACTACTTTAGGGACTGAGGAGGGAGGAAGTAAATGGACAGGTGTTACATCTTCTGTTGTTGCAGCAGAGATGCCGTGAGGCTGTGGGGGCGTGGTGTTGGGAGTGAAGGAGGAGTGGACCAGGGTGTCCTGGAGGGAAAGGTCCTTGCAGAAAGCTGACAAGGACCTCCATCCTCAGTATCCAAGGGTCCAAACACACCTTCCAGGTGAAGCAGTGCTTTACCTGCACTTCACACAACCTTGTCTACTGTATTCACTGCTCACCACATGGTATCCTCTACATTCGGGAAACAAAGTGTAGACTGGATCACTGGTTTGCAGAACACTTGAGTTCGGTTTGCAACAAAGATCCTGAACTTCCAGTTGCCTGCCACTTCAGCTTTCCACCCTGCTCCCTGGCCAACATTTCTGTCTCATTCTTTTTGCAGTGCTCCAGTGAAGCTCAGCGCAAGCTGGAATAATAGCAGCTCATTTTCCGCTTGGGGACCCTGCAGCCTTCCAGATTCAATATTGAGTCCAGTAACTTTAGGGCTTAAGCTCTCCCGAGTCCTTACCCCAACCCCTACATAACCAGGCATTGTTTCACATCGTCGACTATTACACACAACCCATTGTTAGTCACTAACAGTTCCCATTAATATTCACCCTCCCAGTCAGGTGACTGTGTGGAGTTTGTACGTTCTTCCCCATGTCTGAGGTGGGTTTCCTCCCACAGTCCAAAGATGTGCAGTTTAGGTGGATTAGCCATGCTAAATTGCCCATAGTGTCCAGGGATGTGCAGGCTAGGTGGATTAGCCATGGGAAATGTAGGGTTACAGGGTTAGGGAAGCAGGTTGGTTCTAGGTGGGTTGCTCTTTGGAGGTTCAGTGTGGACTTGATGGGCCAAATGGCCTGCTTCCGCACTGTAGGGATTCTATGAAATTGATGCTGTTACCTACAAGACATTGGTTAGAATTGATGTGCATAGAATGACAATGAGAGTTGCATTGGAATGAAGAGTGGTACTTAATCGCTTGGTGGGGCATGCGTGTCTCACTATCCCCACCGGAAATTATTTAGCTGGAGTGGGTTCAGAAGAGATTTATCAGGATTTTGCCAGGTATGGAAGCTTTGAGTTATAAAGAAAGGCTGGATAGGTTGGGACTTTTTTCACTAGAGCGTAGGAGGGTGAGAGGTGACCTGATAGAAGTTTATAAAATAGTGAAGGGTATAGATAGAATTAATAGTAGTTGTCATTTCCAAAGGATAGGGTATTCAAGACTCGTGGGCACATTTTTAAGGTGAGAGGAGAGAGATTTAAAAAAGACATGAGAGCCAAATTTTTTACACAGAGGGTAGTTTGTGTGTGGAATGAACTTCCTGAGTAAGTGGGGGGTCTGGGTGCATTTACAATGTTTAAAAGACATTTGGACAAGTACATGAATAGGAAAGGTTTGGAGGGATAATGGCCAGGAGCAGGCATGTGAGACTAGTTAAGTTTGGGATTATGTTTTGCATGGACTGGTTAGACTGAAGGGTCTGTTTCCATGCTGTATGATTCTATGACTCTAACAGTAATTCAGCAAAACATCAAGGAGGACTGGTCGAAGTGATTAAAATGGAGTTCTTACAAGAGGACAGATTGGTGGTGCTCAATAACTTGAAGGACTTATAAAGTTGGAGGATTATAGAGATAGGGGGCAGGCAGCCATAGACGGATTTGGAAATGAAGATAAAGAATTTTAAAATTGTGGTATTGCTCATCCAAAAGCCAGTAAACCTATCAGTGATGAATCCAGGCATGGGCCGCAGAGCTTTGGATGATCTCAAATTTATAGACAGTTGAGAACAACCTGGAATGCGCTCGAATTGTCAAGTCTGCAGGAAACAAAAGCATGAATGAAAGGTTCAGTTGCAGATAAGATAAGGTAATGGCGAAGCTGGGCAGTTATGGAAGTAAAACAGACAATTTTGGTGACATTGCGGAAATGTAGTTGAAAGCTCAACTTGAGTGGTTCTGGCATTAAAGTATCCAGCTACATAATACAGGCTCTTGGCAGTTGCTAGGGCCACTCTCAGGATTGTGCTTTGGCACTGTCATTGATCTGAATGAAAATAAAGTTCTAATGTTCAAACATAAGGCTATGGACCAAGCGCTGAAAATTGGGATTATATTAGTTAGGTGCTTGTTTTTGATCAGGACAGACTTGATGGGACAAAGGGCCTTTTTCTGTGCTGACCATCTCTATTACTCTATGACTCTAAATCTTACGTCAGAAATTTAATATTTCCAATCTCATCATATTCTCCCAACGACTCGTTACTATCAACATTGCTCAGTGGCTGGGAAACTTCTGCCCGACATGATTATCATATCACATAACTTTAAATATAGTGTGACAATCTAATATGTAGGGATAGATCACCTGTATACTTAATTAAACAATCTTTCCATGATGTGAAACACTATTTGGATAGTTTTTACACAGTGTATGCAGGCATTTCTATCAGTGCATCGTTTGTCCAGAATGTTTTGCCAGTTTGCTCAACCTGATATTTTCAAAGTATCGTGCAGTGTGTTTTATTAACATTTTAATCCGCAATTGTAGGAAAACACATACTTTTTTTACTTGGTTCCAACCTGAATGACGTACAGTTTGGACACACAAAATGGTTCACTGCCTAAAGTTACTTAATAATACTTACGGCTTCCCTGGTATTTAAAGGGGCAGCAACATCTTCAAATTGTTGTACAGCAAGAAATTCTGCAACGACCTGTTCCTGAAAATGGTATCACTTTAATTCATACCCTTGAAGTCTGTACTCTTTGTAAGGCACTAAATCAAAATTGTTTGAAGTTGAAGGCGTGTTACCATGTTGACATTTTAAAGACCTGGAATGTTCTTAATCTGTTTCCATGCATGACTGTGTACAGTACATGCTCTTCTCTGTCTCAGATCTCTAGGATGTGGCTTTCAATTTGTTACTATGGCTTCATTCACTTGTTTTATAACTATTGCCATGGTGATAATATCTTGGGTTCTAGGCTGGCTGAAACTATTTGCATTCCTGCAATCAAAATGTTGATAAGCTCTGCTATGTGGTTTACAGTTTATAAGTCATTTTATTAACTCTTTATGAGCTATCAATGAACACAAGCATTTCTAATTTATCCTTCTCAGTTTCACATTACACTTTCCAATAGAATTTCTCACCAATGTAAGCCAGTTGGATATACCCAATAGTGTGAAATACAAGTAACCTCCTAAATAATGGGATTAAAATTCCGATTTAATTGCTACCTTGCAATTTACTGCTAAACATTTACAGCTGTATTTAGTGCGATGAATAAGTAATAAGCAAGAACTGCAGCAATTGCCTTCTTGAAAACTGCAATTGGAATTCAGTATAGAATGAGTTAAAGTGTCACAGCAAAGATATGTTAGAGGTGAAGGCAATTGCTGCAGTTCTTGAAGATTACTTATCCATGGGAGTAAACACAGCTGTACACGCCTGGCAGTGGGCTGCAAAGTAGCAATTGAATTAGGCTTCAAATCCCATTATTTAGGAAGTTACTCGTACAACAACCTGTTGAGTATGTCCAACTGGCTTACGTTGGTGAGAAATTGGATGGCAGTTATATCATTTACAGACAACTTGCACCTCTTAACGTTAAAGTGCACTTTGCATCTATTACATTTGAAATAATTTGGGATACGAAATGGAGATGGCAGTCAGAACAAATGCTTTTAAGAGTGC